TGGGGTTTTTCTGCTTAATGTTTTAGCTAATAGTTTATACTTAATATTCAACCCAGTTCCCAGACAACCAGGCATTTACCCAGCACTGTTAGTTAAATGCTCAGCACTCAAGGTTGAGTATGGTCATCTACTGATCATGTACCAGTCACAGTTTCTAAGTCATGACTCAGTATCTAAGTTATGATTTTTTTAAAAGGTCGCCATGTCACAGACTTTAAGTTAATGGCTTTTCCGCAATTGGGACCCCATAGCCATATTTCCAAATTGTTTTCCATAATGGTTGGATCAGTTCATAGCTTCACTAACCATTAAAGAAGCTGTTTTCCCATGGCCCCTTCAGAATTTAGCATTTTCTTTTTTGGTCAACTTGACCAATCTGATAGGTATGAGGTAGGACATCAGAGTTGTTTTAATACTGTTATTGTTGCTGAGTTGTTTTTCGGTCATGTCTGACTCTTTGTGACCCCATTCGAGGTTTTCTTGGGAAAGATACTGCAGTTGTTTGCATTTCCTTCTACAATTCATTTTACAGATGAGGAAACTGAGGCAAACAGGGTTAAATTACTTGTCCAGTATCACACAGCTAGCAAGTGATGGATTTGAATCTAGGTCTTCCTGACTCCAGGCCAGCACTCTATCCACCGCACCAATGTTTTAATTTATACTTTTGTAATTAGTGACAGAGCATTTTTTCATATAGCTATTGATAACTTGGTTTTCTTCTGCAAAAAATTGTCCATTTATATCCTTTATTCATTTACCAATTGGCTAAAGGCTATTATTCTTATAAATTTGACTCGATTCCTGATATATCCTAGAAATGAGACCTTTATCAGAGAAACTTGCTGCAAAGATTATTTCCTAGTTTTCTTCTTCTCTTCTAATTTTTTTTAGCTGCATTGATTTTGTTTGTGTAAAAGCTTTAAAAATTTTATATAATAAATTGTTCATTTTAGCCTCCTCAATGAGTTCAGCACAAGGCTTACAATTTTCCTCTATTCTCCAACTCCTGCTCCCATACTTGGAGACATCAACACGCATATTGACTCCCCCCTCAAAATTAACCTCTCCTTCTGCCTCCCCTTACAAAACCCAACTTTTCATCTGTGCTATGACTGCCAACCTCTTGACCCTTCAATATTCTCCCTACCTATCTCCCCTGCACTAGCTCACTCTCTCTTCTTTTCCCAATCTTGACTTATTGGGGAACCAGTTCAATTCTACACTGTCCTCCTCTATTGAATCCCTTTATCACATTCCTGATTAAGGTCCCTCAGCCATTCACTGCTTATGTTCTTATACACATGCTGGTGAAGGAAGGTGGAGAAAACCATGCAACCATTTTGTTGGGATCCATTATAAATTTATTGTATACAACCTCAACCGGTCTCTCATTGCTGCTAGGCAATTCTGCTATTCCTCCATTATCAACTTACTATACCACTTTCCTCAGTAGCCTTTCTAAACCTTCTCATCTCTCCTCAAATCTCTCATGGCTCCCTCTTGCCACTTTCAGGTTGCCTCCCTTACTTCTCTTTGGTATTCATATCTACCTCTTCCCAACTTCTCAGCTGAGATCCTTGCTTTGAGATTTTGTGGCAGAAAAAAAATAGAGGCCATTTTCTGAGTTCCCTCTTCTCCCTGATTCCTCAATCACTCAGATGCCTTTTGCCTTTATCTTTTCTTTCACCCTGTCTCACATAATGAAGTGGTCTTAATCTTTACCAAGTCCAATCTTTTTATCTGTTCAAGTGATTCCATTCCATCCCATCTCCAACAAATTGTCCCCTCTGAAATGCCCACTCTTATTCTCCCTTTATGTTGGCTCATTCTCTACTGCCTACAAACATGGTCTTGTCTCCCCCATCCTGAAAAAAGCCCTCAGCTGATTCTTCCATCATTGTTAATGATCATCCTATATCTCTTCTGCCCTCTGTAGCTAAACTGTTTGAAAAGGCCATCTACCATAAGCCCCTCTACTTTCTCTCTTCTCACTCTCTTCTTATCTGCTTACAATTTGGCTTCTGACCTTATCATTTCACTAAACTGCTCTCTTCAAAGTTACCATTGACCTTGCTGTTGCCAAATCCAGTGGCCTTTTCTCAATCCTCATTCTCTTTGACAGCTCTGCAGCCTTTGACATTATTAATCACTCTCTCATCCTTGATACTCTCTTGATACTCTCTTCTCTCCAGGTTTTTTGTGACATCAATCTCTCCTGGTTCTTCTCCTATCACACTTTTCAACCTCTTTTGCTGAGTAGGACCTTCCCATTATGCCCTCTAACCCTAGGTGTCCTTTAGAGTTCTATATTGGGCTATCTTCTTTTTTCCCTCTCTATTACTTCACTTGCTGATCTCATCACCTCCCATGGATTTAATTACTATCTCTATGCTAATGATTCTCAAATCTATCTATCTTGATCTCCAATCTCACACCTCTACTTTTCTTTCAGACATATCAAACTGGATGTCTAGTAGGTATCTAAACATGTCTAGACGTTATCTTTCCCTGTATATCCCCCCTCCTCTCCCACCTTCCCTATTATATAGAGGTCAACACCACCTTCTAGTCCCCCAAGCTCTCAACCTAGAAGTTATCCTGGAGTCCTTACTACCTCATACTCTATCCTCCCTCCCATCCCCATCCAATCTGTTGCCAAGGCTTGTTGATTTTTTCTCTGCAACATCTCTTGTGTATGTCCCCTTCTTTCCTCTGATACTGCCATTATCACAGTGCAGCTCTTATTGCAATAGCCTGCTGATGAGTCTGCCTGTCTCAATTTTCTCCCCACTCCATTCTATCTTTCATTCAAATAATCAAAGTGATTTTCCTTAAGTGCAGGTCTGACTATGTCACTCCTCTACTCATTAAATTCCATTGGCTCTCTATCACTTCCAGGATCAAATATAAAATTCAAATTCAAAGCCCTTCATAACCTAGTTCCCTTCTACCTTTCTAGTCTTTTTATACCTTACTCCCCACCATGTACTATTTGATCCAGTGACAGGGCCTCCTTGTTGTTCAAGGAACAACTGTTCCTTGTTTACGTGTCACTGTGCATGTTTATCATGTTAAAGTGTTTAACATCCTGCTATTTTTTTTAAAGTATGAACACGCTCCTGATTGAGTCATAAAGGAGCAATTTCATTGGATGAATATCCCTAAAAGGTTTTAAATAGCTAAACTCTAGAGTCAGAGTGGGAGAGTTTTTTGGCTTGGGAGATTTAAGGCCTGAGTCAATAGATAGAAATTATCTCTTCCCCTTTTTGGGGAAAGGAGATGATTAATGTCCTTCCCCCTCACCCATTGTCAGACAATCAAAAAATATTTATTAAGTGCTTGCTATGTACCAATCACTGTGATATGCACCCAAGAGAGAAAAGAATAATTTTTTTTCTTAAAGGAGGGATTTTTTTAAAAAAAATTATTAATTTATTTAATTTATCGACAATCAAGAATATATTTTTTTAAAAAGCTATTTGTAGAAGGTAAACTTTTAGCTGAGACATGAAGGAAACCAGCTAAACCAGGAGGTAGTGGCAAGGAGGGAGATCATTCCAGATATGGAGAACAGCCAGTGAAAATTCACAGTCAGGAGATGGAATTCTTATGCAAGGAAAAGCTACACCAATGTACTTCTTGGATTATAGAGTACATGGAGAGGAGTAAAGTATAAGAAGATTGGAAAGGTAGGAAAAGGTCAGTTCATGAAGGGCTTTAAAAGCCAAAAAGAGGACTTTATGCTTGATCTCGGAGACAAAAAGGAATCACTGAGGTTACTGGAGTAGGGGGTGTGTGTGTGTGTGGGAAGACATGGTTATTACTGCACTTTGGTAAGACAACTTTAATAGTTGAACAGACAATGTAATGGAATAGGGAGAGACTTAAGGCAGGGAGACTAAGCCAGAGGCTGTTGCTGTTGTCTAAGAGGGAGGTGATAAAGGCCTACATCAGGGTAGTGGTAGTATTGATGTAGAGAAGCAAACATACACGAATATATGAGAGATATGGAAAGGTGGAATTGACAGCACACTGGATATGTATTAAAAAGTGAGGAGTGGAGAGTCAGATAGAGAGGTATGACAATTGAAAGCTGAGATGCGAAGAAAATTCCATAAAAAGATATTGGACTTAGAGGTCCTGTAGTTCTGGAGTTATGACTTATCTTGGCCTCCTGTTCCTTCTTGTGTGCCTAATTACCAGTTTTATTGGGAAGAGTAGTTTCAAAGCATTTGCTTTGAACTAATCCTTTCTCCTGACTGATAGCTGATCCTTAACCCTACCGTGGGGGCTTGGAGATCTATAGTTTTAGAAGTGAATACCCACAGAGTACACCTTTGGAACCTGAAAGTAGTTGTTTCCACAGACACTCAACCTAAAAACCTTTGAGTGTTGAGTTAGGGTAGTATCCCAAGCTTACCGAGGCATTTGATACAGTTAAAAATAACAAAGAACTAATGTTATCATTACATTTATGAAAGTGTTCCTTTATTTGTCAATATGTAACTCCCTACTTCTTTTTAAAGGGAAAGGAGAGAGAGAAAAGGAGCATATAGTTAATAAAAGCATACCATGCACCAGGCACTGTGCTAAGTGCTTTATAAATATTATCTCAGGGACAATGAAAGAAAGAGAGGGAAAACATGTGCCCAAGGAGCAGTTGCAAACGGTTGTGACTGGAGACCCAATCTTCTTTTTTCAGGGATAAGGCCTTCTGAATCTTACATGCAAATCCACAGAGTTTTCAACTTCCTATTATCTTCCCTGGAACAAAGCAGTATGGAACAAATGCTTTTCTTTGATTTCCTCCTGCCCTAACAAGAACACATAAAAATTAAGCTCTTCTACAACATAACAGAAAAAGAATCGCCGACTCCCGGGTAACCCAACAGAAAGCATTAACTCTGCTCTCTCCCCGCTTCCTGGAGTAGAGGGGCGATGATACGCAGGAAGGAGGAGTCCCAGTGTCTCAGAGTCACTTGGTCAGGCGTGGCTCCACCTCCTCTGATTTGCCTTCTTCCTACCCAGAGTTTCCAATTCTAACTGTAGCTTCTTCAGCCTTGGTCTTGGTAGGCTAAAGCGAAGTTAAGGTCGCATTCAGAGACTGTTCCTTTGCACAGCCCCTGATGGCTGGTTTACCGCAGAACCTAGATGGAAGAAATTCCGATGCAGTGCGGAGCGTTTGACTGAGCCATTTTAGGCTGTGAAGCTGGGCCTCTGTGGAGCAGAAATTGTTTACAGAGCCGGAAAGTGGGTAAGTAGGTTTTGAATGAAGCATAGGATGGAAACGGCTCCGGAAACGCCTCCCCATTGCCAAGACTGCCGTTATTTGGTATTATGCTCCGGTTAGAGAAATCGGCTTGTTGGACCGAGTTTTATTTGGGACTGGTAGGAATCTGTGCTTTCTTCCCCCTCCTCACCACGCCCTTGCATGCTTCCCGGGCCTGGGGTTGAGTATGGAGATCCCGGAGCTTGGGGGCTGTGGGGGTAATTCGGGAGCGCATGACATCAAGTTTTGGTATTCACGAGAAGTTCACCTTTGTGTATGGGGATGGGATTAGAGACGAACCCGGGACTTCCCTTCTGAGGCTATGGGTCCGTGACACGGTTTCAGGAAACTTAACTATGGAAGAATATCGCAGTTCAAGGGAAATCAAGGGTTGCTGTCGCCCAAGGTTTGAAGTAATGGTGGTTAGGTAGGAAAGGGGATAGATGGGGGATTTCTTTAAGCTTTAAGCCTGTCTATGATCTGGGGGAGAAAATCAGGGAATGGGACGGGATGATGCTTGGGAAAGGGCTGCAGCAGATTGCCTCTCTTGAAAAAAAAAAGCTGCTTTTGCGTGAGCAACCCTTTACATATGGAAATGACGCTAAAGTTGTTCCTCTTTTGTGTTCTTTTAAAGGACTCCCTGAACGGTCGCGCTGGCTGCAAAGTTTTGTCTTCCTTTTTAGAGACTTAACAAAAGCCTAATCACTTGCTTTCCTAGGGCTCTTGAGAGAGAACTCCAGGGAGACTGACAGAAGGTAAAGGGAGGGGAGGGAGGGAGAGGAGAGGAGGAAAGGGGGTGGGATCGAGCGATTGCTTACTTAGAGAAGTTTCTTTGTCTATAGCAAGTTGAGGGGGGAGGGAAGAAAAGCTCCTGTTGTGACAATATGTGCATGATATTTCTTAATGGCAGCGGATTAGTGGCTGAAAATGTACTGGTTGCTGACATGGTGAAAAAGCATCTGTTCATCACCACTGACACCTGACTGAGTTGGAAATAAACAACTTTTATTTTGATCTAGAAGCTGATTTGACAGTCTTGGGCATCAGAGAGGATTCTAGCTTTGTGGGCTTGTTCTGTGATTCCTACCTTTTTTCTATCTAGCTATTATATTAAAATAGCTATTAACTAATAAAAATGGACTCTGCTGATATGTGAAGCTTCGTTTGCTATTCCAAGTCATTTTATAAAAGATTTTCAAGAGATATATGGAATCAGTACACAGCCTAGAGTTTCTAATTAGGAGGGGAAGGAGAGAACGGAGAGGAAGGAAGAAAATATACCATCCTTAATTACCGAATAAAATCCTAGAATACCAATTTTGAAAAATTGAAGTGTGATATGTTCCTGGAGGAACATTTCACAGGAAAATTTCTCAGTTTCATATGCTTAGTTTATTTTCTGATGCTTTGGAATCATCCTTTGACCAAAGGATTATACTGATGAAAATGCTGACTGTGAAAAGAATTGCTCTAGCTGATAAATTATTGGTCTGGACTAAATCGTTGTTCCTGGACTCAAGCACTGATCAAGCTCAATTGAGGTGGAAAAAATGATAAATAGTCAGTAGTTGTTTATTTCTCTTTTTAGCATTAAAAAATTCTGAACTTGCATACTAAATAAAACTTGCATTTCTATATCTAGATTTTAGAAGAGGAGGGAAATTATACATGAAACTGAATATTCTATAGATCTTGCTTTTCTTAAGTATATAATAAATTTAACATATAACTTACAAAACTATACTGCTTTGCTATTTTTTCATAAAATAAATGTAATAATTCTTCATTCACTTGAAGTCACTTGTATGAGCTAGATGGCCCAGTAGATAGAGCAGCTAGAGTCAAATTGAGTTCATTTGGAGTCAGACTTGAGTTCAAATCTAGCCTCAGACATTTACTAGCTGGGCAAATAACTTAATCTCTTTCTGCCTCAGTTTCATCAGTTGTATAATGGGGATAGTAATAGCACCTATCTCCCAGGATTGTTGTGAGGATGAAATGAGATAATAATTGTAAAGCACTTAGCACAGTGCCTGCACATAGTAAACACTATAAAAATGTTTATTATTATTATAGATTACTGAGAATTGCTTGAGCTACAACCCAATTATTGAATTTCAAACTTTAAACAAACTACACATTGCATTGTATTGCTGACATGGTAGCATTTTAGTTTGCTTATTCTGAAAAGAAAACTCATTATTGTATATAGGCTGAAGTACTGTCAACATTTAAGATCCTACCTCACTCCTCTCTCAAATCCATCTGCATAAACTTATGGCTATTTGTATATATTTCCATTTGTCAGTCTGTGAGGAAACATTTGCCTGGCGCAGTTTAAATAGACTGATTTCTTATCTGATTTGGAGAACCATTGTAGACCTTTGGACCCTTGGAGAATTTTGATAGTTGAAACAGAATTCTGGTAAATCTTGGCAAATCCTGGCTTGAAATAGTCTATGAAAACTCTAGATGTGGTAGGGATAGAAACTCTAGATGTAGTAGGGATAAGATGGTGGTACTAATGGAAAAACTGAATTTTTTAGAGGGGATGTTTAAGAGCATATGAGCAGGAAATTTTTTTTTGTTTTGAGAAATGCAAGATTTTAATTGTGTCATCTTATTTGAACTTTTTTTCAGACTAGGTTTTAAGTTGAATCTCAGGAGTTTTTTTGCTTTTTTGTCCGATATATGATTTTATTGTAAGAGGAAGTTTTCTCTTTTTTAAATTAATTTATTTTGATTTATCAACAATCACTTCCATAAGGTTTTGAGTTTTAAATTTTTCTCCCCCTCCCTCCCCACCTGCCTCCCCAAGATAGTGCACAATCTGATATAGGATATACATATACATTCCTATTAAACAAGTTTTCACATTACTGATGTTGTAAGTAAGAAATAGAGCCAATAGGAGGAACCACAAGAAAGAGAAAACAAAACAGAAGAAAAAAAATAGCAAATAGCATGCTTTGATCTGCATTCAAACTCCATAGTTCTTTCTTTGGATGTGGATCACATTTTCCATCATGAGACCTTTGGAGATGCCTTAGATCCTTGCATTGCTGAGAAGGGCTAAGTCTATCAATATTACTCATCAAACAACGTGGCTGTTACTGAGTACAACATTCTCTTGGTTCTGCTCACTTCACTCAGCATCAGACCATACAAGTCTTTCCAGGTTCCTGGCTAAGAAATAGAGTGGTGGATCAGTGGAATAGGTTAGGTATGCAAGATACAGTAGTCAATGACTATAGTAATCTACTATTTGATAAACCCAAAGACCCCAGCTTCTGGGATGAAAACTCATTATTTGACAAAAACCGCTGGGAAAACTGGAAAAGAGTACGGCAGAAATGAGGCATAGACCAAAATCTCACACCATATACCAAAATAAAGTCAAAATGGGTTCATGATTTAGCTATAAAGGCTGATACCATAAGCAAACTGGGAGAGCAAGGAATAGTTTACCTGTCAGATTTATGGAGAACAGAAGAATTCATGACCAAACAGGAGATAGAGAACATTATGAAATGCAAAAGGGATATTTTTGATTACATTAAATTGAAAAGTTTTTATACAAATAAAGCCAATGCAACCAAGATTAGGAGGGAAGCAGAAGACTGGGAAAGATTTTTTACAACTAGTGTCTCTGATAAGTCCCTCATTTCTAAAATATATAGAAAACTAAAGCAAATTTATAAGAATACAAATCATTCCCCAATTAATAGTCAAAGGATATGAGTAAGCAGTTTTCAGATGAAGAAATTAAAGCCATCTATATGAAAAAATGTTCTAAATCACTATTGATTAGAGAAATGCAAATCAAAACTCCGAGGTACCACATCACACCTATCTGATTGGCCAATATGACAAAACAGGAAAAAGATAAATGTTGAAGAAGATGTGGGAAAATTCGAAGACTAATGCATTGTTGGTGGAATTGTGAAATCCAACCATTTTGGAGAGCAATTTGGAACTATTCCCAAAGAGCTATAAAAATGTGCATACCCTTTGACCCAGCAATAGCACTTCTAGGACCATGTCCCAAAGAGACCATATAAAGAGGAAAAGGACCCACATGTACAAAAATATTTATAGCTGCTCTTTTTTGTGGTGGCCCAAGAATTGGAAATTGAGGGGATGCCCATCAACTGGGCAATGGCTGAACAAGTTGTGGTACATGATGCCCAAAAACAAATGCCCTAGAACATCAGTAAATATATTGCTGCTACCATCAGCAAAATATTAGAGGATATGATAATGGAAAGTAATGATAATAGAGAACAAGTTCATAGTTCTTCTATTAAAAGTTTTAAGTTTTAAGAATTAGTCATTTTGCTTTCTCAGAATGGTCAAAATTTGCTTCTCTTTCTAAACGTATAATCACCCTTAATATTGATGGAGCTTCAATTCACACAGAGAAGAGAGGATAATAATATTTCTCTGCAGCCAGTCTTAATTTTGAAGTATTTTTGTGTCTGTTAGGAGTCAAGTATTGTTCTATGTTTCTTTGAATGTCTTTTAAATGATTTTAAGGTGATATGTCACCAATATTGATAGTTCAATTTTAGGAGTGATGAAAATACATTTTGTTAACAAAGCATAGAGTTAACCTTTAAAGGCTTAACCTTTGAGTAGCTGAGAGAAATGAACATATTTTTCATTCAATTTAAACTTTTAAAATTAGTTCATTTCAAAATAGGAAATTATTTTAAATTAATAATTAATATGGATTGAATTCTATCTACTAAATAATATTGAGTTCAGTTCTTATGGTAGTCTTATATAGGCTTTCAAAAATAATAATAAAATGTAGCAAAGCAAATAGCTTATTGCTTATCCAAGAAAAGTAATTTTAAGAAAATGTTTACAGATGAGAGAATAGCAAGTCTACAATGTAATCCCCTAGGAACACATTTTCTCTGTACAGCCTGTATTTGGCTTTAAGTAATTGTGGCCCCATAAATAAAAATTGTTGTGAGTCTGCTTTTCAAAAGAAAATGAGAATTTCTGGGTAATATTGCTAATGTCCTGTAAGAGCCCAGATGTCCCAGAAACATTCCAGAAAAGTTATAAAAATTCAACATAATGAAGAATAATAAGAAAATAAAAGAAAAATACCAACAGGCTTCTCCATCTAGTCCAGAACTATACAAGAAGACTGCCCGAAGCCCTTGACTGTTCTGACTGAAGATAAGGTGTTGCAGGTGAGGGGTGGGGTGGGGAGAGGAGAGGAAGGAGAAAGCTAGCCCAGGAAACTGGAGCCTAAAGCCAGCAAGATCGCAGTCCTGTGCTGTCAGAGCAGCAGGGGACAGAGCCAGCTTCTACTGCTCTTTGTACAGGGAGACATAAGCAGAAGGTATTTGCTAACCTCTGGCCTTCTAAGATACTTGAAACTCATGCTCCAGTAGCCTTTATTGAAGCCACACAGGAGACAAGGCAAGCATGGTGGAGGAGGAGTCTAAAAGAGGACAGAAACTGGCATTGCTATCGCCATTAAAGCAAAAGTCAGGACCATCACAGCAATCAAGCAGGATAGGAAGCTTATCAGGAGGTCTGAGACTTGTATAATCTGTGATAACCAGTTTGGATTTGTCAGATCCACAAGAAGGGATAGAACCAAGTCCTCTTAGAGTTTAAAGTTCAAGGAGGAGAAAGAGAAAGTGTGAGACTAAAACTTGTGTTGGCTATTAGATAGACTAGAAAACAAGGATTCTAGCAGAGGTCAGATCACCATATCCAAAAGAAGAGAGGCGGCAGCAACCAAACTATTGAGTGAATAGGAGCGTGAATTCCAGGCACAGGGGACAGGCAGTGCTAAGGCACAGAGGTGGGACATGGAGTCTCTTTTTAGAGGAACTGTAAGTAGGTCAATGGAGATGGATCGTAGAATTCATAGAGGGCATTCAAGTGTAAGAAGCCTGGAAACGTAGGATGGAGGTTGTGAAGACATTTAAATGTCAATTAGAGAAATTTATATTATATTCTGGAAGTGATATGGAGCCACTGGAACTCATTGATTTGTGGGGCAAGGGTAGTAGGGTCATGGTCAGATATATGCTTCACTTTTATTTAAACATTTTTTTTTCCAATTAGAAAGCATTTCTTTTCTCTCCCTTCTACTTCCCTAACCATCGAAATAAAAAAGAAAACCCTTGTAACAAATACGCATAGTGAAGTGAAATAAATTCCCACATTAACTATGTCCAAAAGATGTGTGTCTCATTCTGCATCTCGAGTCTTACCATTTTACTGTTCAGGAGATGAGTAGCATCCTTCAAAACTACAAACATATGCTTTATAAAAAATCACCTTGGCAACAAAATGGAAGAAGGATTGGAGTGATTAGAGATTTGAGGAAGTGAGATTAGTGAGAAGGGTATATAGTACAGGCCAGAAATTATGGGGACCTGAAATAGGGTTATCACTATGTGAATATTATGAAGTAGGAACAAAATTTGACAATAGATTGATTATGTCACGTGAGTGTGAATGAGGAGTTAAGGATACCACTAAGGTTTTCAGGCTCAGTGGCTGGGAGGTTAGTGGTACTTTTGACAGTACCATCTTCCTAGGGTCAAAGAGGTAGAAAATGAAGATTTTAAAAAGGACATGAGGGATGATTTTGTTCTGTATTTTAGGCTTTAAGAGGAGAAAGAAAAGGGGGAAATATGTCATAGAAGAAATGAGGAAGAATTGGGAGGAATTTAATATTTTTATGTAAGTGAGATGTACAAGAAGAGTATACAAATGTCAGGTAAACATTTATTAAGCACTTGATATGTTCTTATACAATGCTAAGTGCTAGGGATACAAATATGAAAAAGAAAGATAGTCTTTGCCCTCAAGCAGGTTACAATAAAAAAAATAAGTTTATATTACTATTTTCTGTTTTTTACACCATCATAGTTATCCCAATTATCTTTCCTTTTCTACCTCTCAGAGAGCCATCCCATATGACAAATGGGTTTCAAAGAGGAAAAAAAATCGTCACTACAATATATTGAAAAAGTATGAAAATGTTCAATGTCTAACACCTGTGGACTTCTCACTTCCATGAAAGAGTAAGGTTTTTTTTTTGTGTGTGGGGGTGTATGTTTTCTCATATCTTTTCATTTCAATTCTGTCTGATCTTTATGATTTTGTTACATTTACTTTTGATTTTTATGGTGCATAGCTGTTGAAACTAGAACAATAACAAATCAGAACAGCTAAATACAAAAATAGACATTTTGATAATCAAAAAAGAGAGAAAGAAAATTGAAAACAAAAACACATTGAATTGGTAAATAATTATAGGAACTAATTATTTGAAAAAAACAGTAAATTAAACTTTTTTTTAAGGCAATTGGGGTTAAGTGACTTGCCCAGGGTCATACAGCTAGTGTCAAGTGTTTGGTCTGAGGCTGAATTTGAGCTCAGGTACTCCTGACTTCAGAAATGGTGCTCTATCCACTGCGCCACCTAGCTGCCCCCCTAGATAAACTTTTTTTAAGGAAAAGAAAAGCAAATTACCGTTGTCAAAAGTGAAAAAGGACAACTCACAACAAATGAAGGGGAAATAAAATAAATTATTAGAAACCATTTGACTGAATTATATTTTGCTAGCAAAAATAACTTAGATGAATATTTACAAAAATATGAAATACCTGTATAATCAGAGTAAAAAGAAATTGAAAGGCAAATAAATGAACTACCAAAGAAAAACATCACAGGACCAAATGGATTAAAATCAAATCTTAAAAAAACTTTCAAAGAAAAATTCATTTCAACATTACATGAATTGTTTGCAAAAATAAGGAAAGAGGGCATCCTCTGGAAAACCTATATATTCTATTAATCTCTGACAGAGAGGAGGGTAATATGCTTTCACTTCATAGATTTTCTGGAGACATGATTAGTCTTTGCTTTGATCAGAACTCTTAAGACTTTCAAAAATATTTTCTTTAGTATTCTTGTCTTTGCATAAATTGTTCTGGTTTGTTGTCTTTTCACTCTGCTATAGTTTGTATTACCCAAAATTCTCTGAATTAAATATCTTATTATATAATAATCATTACATTAATATATTGTAATTTGTTCCTAGTTGTCTAAGAGACAGCTTAAGGTATCCCATTAGATTTTAGTCCTTTTTTCCTTCCTACCCCATTTTAATCCTCCTTTAAAATCAGAAAGTTTGTTTTGGTTTCGACTATTTTTTCATATATTATATATTCTTCTTAACTCTGGTCCCAATTCCTACTTGTTTTCTCATTGAGTTTGACATATTTCTATGCAAATTTTTCTGTATTTGTGTGTATTCTACCCTCCTTATTCCATTTCATATGGGTGAGGTTGATCTTATGCCAGCTTTCCCCACCCCTTCTCTCATGCTTCTGTATTCTTATATCCTTCAATTATAAGAAACAGAAAACTTTCTTCTTTCTACCCTACTGTGTATTCTTCCTTTTACCATCTTTTCTATTTTCCCTTTTTAATCCTCCCCAACTCTGCTTTTCTTCTTTATATCCCTCAATATTTTTAGAAGATGTTAAGATTCCAAAGAGATATTTCTTCTTTCTTATTAGAATGTTAATAATACACAGTAACAATTAGAGAAGCTAAATCTTTCACAATTGATTGTCATTACAACACTGCTGTTAATGTGTACAAAGTTCTCCTATTTTTACTCATTTTATTTTGTAACAATTCTTATGTCTTCCTATGTTTTTCTGAAACCATACCCTTCATCATTTCTTACAGCACCAAAGTATTCCATCACAATCTTGTACCACAACTTGTTCAGCCATTCTCCAGTTGATGAGCATCCCCTCAGTATCTATATATATTTTGCTACCACAAAAAGAGCTGCTATAATACTTTTATACATGTGGGTTCTTTTCCTTTTCCATTGATCTCTTTAGGATATAGACCAAGTAGTGGTATATACACTTTTATAACCCTTTTGCTCATAATTCCAAATTGTTCCCTAGAATGGTTGGACTAGTTCACAACTCCACCAACAATGCATTAATGTACCTATTTTTCCATATCCCCTCTAGTGTTTGACATTTTCTTTCTCTGTCATATTAGCCAATCTGATGGCGGTATCTCAGAGTTGTTTTATTTTGTATTTTTCTAATTATTAGTGATTTAAAGCATCTTATACAACTACGTAGTTTTGATTTCTTCTTCAGAAAAAGGCCTGTTCATATTCTTTGGCCATTTATCAATTGGAGAATGGTGCTTATTTTTTTATTAATCAGCTCAATTTGCTATATATTTGAGAAATGAGACTTTTATCAGAGAAAATCACTAAAAAAATCTCCAGTTTCCTGCTTTCCATCTAATTTTGACTTCACTAGTTTTGTTTATACAAAACCTTTTAATTTTATTTAATCAAATTATCCATTTTATTTTCTTTAATACTCTTTATCTCTTGTTTTGTCAGGAACTCCTACCTTATCTAAAGATCTGACAGGTTATTTTTTTCCCTGGGGTTCCCCTAATTTGCTTATAATATCCCCATTTATATCTAAAATGTGTACTTATTTTGAGCTTATTTTGGTAAACAATGTGAGATGTTGTTCTTTGCATATTTTCTGCCGGACTGATTTCCAGTTTTTCAATAGTTTTTGTCAAATAATGAATTCTTGACCAAATAGCTGGGATTTTTGGCTTTATCAAACACTAGGTTACTGCGGTCCTTTACTTTTGAATATTGTGTAAAGACTCTATTCTATTAATCAATCACTCCATTTCTTATCCAATACCAGGTTTTTTTGATTATTACCATTTTGTAGTATAGTGTGAGATCTGATACTGCTGGGCTGCCACCTTTCATTCTTTTTTCACTGATTCCCTTGATATTCTTGACCTTTTATTCCTCCAAGTGTATTTTGTTACTATTTTTTCTAGCTCTTTAAAATGTAGTTTGATTGGTTATAGCACTGAATAAGTAAATTAATTTAGGTAGTATTATCATTTAATTATATCGACTTGACTGACTCCCAATCAATTAATATTTTTCCACTTGTTTAGATCTGTCTTTATGTGAAGAGTGTTTTATAATTGTGTTCCTGTGTGTGTCTTAGTAGTGGCAAATAAATACTTGGCAAATATTTTATGCTATGATTATTTTATTTTATTTTATTTTATTTTTTTGCTATGATTATTTTAAATGGATTTTCTCTATCTCTTACTGTTATTGGTCATATATAGAAATACTGATCATTTATTTGGGTTTATTTTATATCCTACAACTTTGCTAAAGTTGTTAACTGTTTCAACTAGTTTTTTTTAGTTGATTCTCTAGGATTCTTTAAGTATAACATCATATCATCTACAAAAAAATGATAGTTTTGTTTCCCTGATGCCTATTCCTAATCCTTCAATTTCTTTTTTTAGTCTTACTGCTATTGCTAGATTTTCTAGTGTGATATTTAATAATAATGGTAATAATGGACATCCTTGCTTCACTCTGATCTAATTGGAAAGGCTTCCAGTTTATCCCTATTACAAATAATGCTGGCTCTTGGCTTTAGCTAGATAGTATTTATCATTTTAAAATAAACTCCATTGATTCTTATGCTTTCTAGTACTTTAATGGGAATGGGTATTGTATTTTGGCCAAAGCTTTTCCTGCATCTATTGCTATAATCATATGATTAAAAATTTTTTTCTTATTGAGATGGTCAATTATGTTTATATCGCTAATGTGCTTATATGCTGCTATTGAACAAGCCCTGCACTTCTGGTAGAAATGCAGCCTGGTCATGGTATATGATCTTTGGGATATATTGCTGTATATTCCTTGCTAGTAATTTATTTAAAAATTTTGCATCAGTATTTATTATGGAAATTGGTCTGTAGTTTTCTTTCTCTGTTTTTGCTTTCCTTGGTTTAGAAATCATAATCATATTTGTGTTATAAAAGGGGCTTGGTGGGACTCTTTTAACTCTTTTTTCAAACAGTTTACATAGTATTGGAATTGATTGTTCTTTAAATGTTTGGTAGAATTTGTTTGTAAATAGATATGTTGCTGTGCTTTTTTCCTTTGGGCGCCTATTTATGACTTGTTCAATTTCTTTTTCTAAAATAGGGTTATTTAAGTATTTTATTTCCTCTTTTATTAATCTGGGCAATTTCTATTTTGTAAATATTCATTCATTTTATTTTGAGATTGTAAGTTTTATTGACATATAATTGGGCAAAATAGCTCCTAATAATTACTTTAATTTTATCTTCCTTGTACACTTATCTGTTCTTTTTTGAGTCTGATTTTTTTCTTTTTAAAAATTAAATTAACCAATAGTTTATCTGTTTTATTGTCATTTCCCCCCATAAATCTAGTTCTTAGTTTTATTTCAATGGCTTTATTCAATGGTTTTTTTTACTTTTAATTTTATTAATCTCTCCTTTTAATTTCCAGATTTCTATAACGGTGTTTAGTTAGGGATTTTTAATTTGTTCTTTTTCTAATTTTTTTAGTTGTATGCCCAATTCATTGATCTGCATTTTCTTTTTTATTGTTGTAAGCATTTAGACATATAAATTTTCCCCCAAGTATTGCATTGTCCCCCAAATTTTGGTATGTTGTTTTTTTGTGGTCATCTTTGCTTAAGTTATTGTTTGTTTCTACAATTTCTTCTTTGATCCAGTCACTCTTTAGCATTAGATTATTTAAGTTTCTAATTCATTTTTAGTCTATTCTTCAAAGGCCCTTTATTGAATGTAAATTTATTGCATTGTGGTCTGAAAAGAGTGCATTTAATATTTCTTCTCTGCATTTGTTTGTGAAGTTTTCATGCCAGTTTATATGGTCAATATTTTGGAGGTTCTTTTGAGAAAGCTACCTCCTTCCTACTCCCATTTGATATTATCCAGATAACGATCATAGATAATTTTTCTAAAATTCTACTTATCTCCTTAATTTCTTTCTTATTTATTTTAAATTTTGATTTGTCTGAGAGGTATAAATTGAGGTCTCCTACCACTACAGTTTTATTATCTGTTTTCTCTTGATTGTTTTCTTCTCATTTGACTTTTCTTTCAAGAATTACAATGCTATGTCATAAGGTGCATATATGCTCAGTATTGATAATTACTTCATTATGTGTTATCTTTTAGCAAAATGTAGTTTCACCATCTCTTTTAATTAGGTCTTTTTTTGCTTTTACTTTGTCTGAGATCATGATTGCCACCTCTTCCTTTTTTACTTAAACTGAAGCATAATAGATTCTTCTCCAGTCCCTTATTTCAGCTGTATGTGTTACTGTTTTGTGTCTCTTGTGAGCAACATATTATCGGATTCTGGTTTTTAATGCATTCCGCTATCCCCTTCTCATTGATTGGGTGAGTTCATCCCATTCACATTCATAGTTATGATTACCAACTATGTATTTCCCTCCACCCTATTGTCTTCTATTTATCCTTCTCTTTATTACCCTGTCCCCTCCTCAAAAATCTATTTAGCTTTTGATAATTGCCTTCCTTAATCTTTTTTTTGTTTGTTTTTTTTTGGTGAGGCGATTGGAGTTAAATGACTTGCCTAGGGTCACAGAGCTAGTGAGTGTTATGTGTTTGAGGCCGGATTTGAACTCAGGTCCTCCTGAATCCAGGGCCAGTGCTCTATCCACTGTGCCACCTAGCTGCCCCAAAGATCCAGAATATCAAAAGAACTAATGAAAAGAAATGCTAGGGAAGGTGGCCTAGCCATTCCAGATCTCAAATAAAGCATCAATCATCAAAACTGCTTTGTACTGTTTATTGTTTTTTAAAGATAGAGTTATGACATCAGTAACCTCAGTGGAGAGACAACCGATGCTGGTTTTATAACTGTACCTGTGTGTTTTCTTCCTAATCAGCTCCTCGGGGGAATCTTTGTATCCCCAGCAACTAACACTGTTTCTGGCATAAAATAGGTCCTTCTTAAATGCTTGTTGACTGAATGACTGATTAAGTATAAAGTTGAAAGGAAAATTATAATATTATATAGTGCATCAGATGATGATTATGACTGTATTAGGGTATTCCAATGTGAATGCTAAAATATCAAATAACGTGTTTTTCTTCTTTTTCTTGTCATATTTTGGTAGGTACAGTGGGCTATGGGATGGATGAAGCAGAGCAGGATCAGCATGAAACTCGTCTCAAAGAGATGTTTCACAGTTTTGATGCCACTGGCACTGGGTCTCTGTGCCAGCAGGAGCTGATAGACCTCTGTCAGTTGCTGAACCTGGAAGAGGTGACACCAGCACTGCAGAAAACACTGTTTCAGGACAACCTCTTAGGCAGGGTAAGATTTGAAGAGAGGCAAAGGATTAGAAGGGTTTGGGATGGGGGTATAAACGCAGAAGGGAGAGCAATATGTGTTGCAACTGGTAAAAGAACTAGATGCATGTGTTATTGGTTGTGTCGTTTATAAGTTACCTTATTTCTCTAAGACTCACTTTCCTTATCTGTAAAATGGAAGTAATACTACAGTCCACAGTACTTTGCTACTTAGGGTTGTTGCAAGTATCAAATGAAAATATACGTAAAATACATGACAGATCTTGAAGTTTTATATAAAAGGCAGTATTTGTTGTTATTATCTTTGTTGTTATTGTTACATTTACACTGAGTATTACAATACAGCAAAGAAAAGGAAATGAACTTTCTCCAAGAGTAAAAGGAAAGGGAATCAGAATAGATGCCCAAATTTGTACCTGGATTTCTCTTATTCTTTGTGAACTCTTCTTGACTACAGGCTGCTTTAGTGGGCCTATACTAGTCAGTTTTAGAACCAAGATGCTCACTGAGAAGAGGAAATTCATTAAGAGTACTGACATTCATATCTGGAATTCTATTATGATTTGTAACATCCAATAAAGCTATTTCCTATGTGGATTCTTTCTGTAGTGGAGTATAAATTAAACATCCATCCTAGGTGATGAATATGGGAAGGTAGGTAAGGACTATTTGGTATAATGTTTCATTCAAAATGAAGCAAGACTTCTCTCAGATATATTTGCACTAACGTTAACCAAATCGTTTGACTTAAGCCACAATTTCCCCATGGAGCAATGTAATTGAAGTCATAGGTGGGGAGGGGAATGTGTTTCTTCTCTTCTGGTTTTGTCCGAGTATGAGGAACAGTGGTTTAATTTGCTATGACCTGTGAATGCCATCAATTTTGAAATACAAAGCATATGTCAATGTGTTCAAATCAATTTTAATGATTTTTTAAAATTATCAGTCGTTTATGTTTTTTACCACTCACCTCCCCCAATACTATGTATGAGTACTAACCTTGTTGAGACAGTGGTTTTTACCATGTGGTATAAATTGAGTTGTATCTTTCACCAACTGAAAAATTCTTCCCTTTTTCCCTCTCTCTCCTCTATTTTTTCTTTCTCATCCAGTGAAATAAGTGATACATAATTCCGATTAATCATCAGTGAACAAACATTTAAAAATATTTACTATGTGCCAGGGACTACAAAGGCCCCAAGCAATCTAAGACAACATATATCAGGTTGAAATTAGTATACTGAGTGTGACATTGTCAGGAGGTTTGGCTTTAGCAATGTACCTGGACCACCAACAGCACTTTGTTTATAAAACAAAAATCTAAATAAATCCTCATAAAGTATTTGTTTATCTTATATCCATGTCCAAAATGGCTTTTTAAAAGATTATATTTCTTCATATATGTGACTCCTTATCAAAATTCTAAGAATGTTGCTTTCAAAGAATAAAACAAGAACTTCAATTACCAAACCATTTGTTACCTTTTCATTATAATAGTGTAGCAATTGCATTGTACTATTGTAGCAATAGTATTGTCAATTCAGATGCTTTGGAAGAAAAAGGAATGTAGTTTCTTGAGTAGACTTGTAAAGATATAGTGTCTCATGGTATAGAAGTAGTGATATTAATGGGGCAGACTTTAGTCAAGTGACTTGCCCAGGTCACATAGCTATTAAGTGTCTGAGGCCCAATTTGAACTCAGGTTTTCCTTATATCATAGCCAAACTCTAAGCATTGTATATTCTATACATAAGAATAGCTAGTATTTATCTAGTGCCTTAAGATTTGCAAATCTCTTTACATAAGTTATCCCATTTAATCCTCAAAACAATCCTATGAGGTAGGTACTATGATTGTCTGCATTTTACAAATGAAGAAACTGAGGCTAAGAGAGGTTAAGTGATTTGCCCAGGGCCAGACAACCAGCAAGTGTCTAAAACAGGATTTGAACTTATAAGTTCTTGACCTTGTCTAGCTCTCTATCCACTAAACTACCTAGTATTACATATTTTCTGATAATCTGTGATCATGAACTAGGGAAGCAGAATTACTGACTGATTTGTTAAAACCTCGATACCGTAAATTATCTGCTCTTTGCAACTGATATTTAAAAGTGAACAACGGACATATGTCTGATAGCATGATATTTACCCTGGGTCTTGATGATGAAAATCAAATATATCTGCACGATTATATTTTAGTTTGTTGTGGTTGTCATTTAAAGTGAAGCCATTTTGAAATAACATTTAACGCTTTCCAAGGAGTTGTGTAAATCTGTATAGACGATCCCATAGTCTTGGCCATATGTATGTATCTTAGCTTATGTGCTCTTTTTTGTTTGTTTTAAAGTTATCAGGAAAAAAATTTAAAAAAATTTAAAAAATTTTCAGGAAAAAGCTTGGTTAGTATGCAATGATTAAAATATGATCTATCCATGAAAATTCTATTATACCCTTATTAATACCATTATATTAACAGTGGTATTAACATGGGTGATGAATATGGGGGGAAATCTTTAGCTTTGTTTTTAATCCTATATTAAGCTGTTGATATTGGTAAACTGCCATCTATTTGAAAGGCGTTTATAGAATATGACAAGAGATTAGGCTAAAATATTGTGCTTACCATGGAAGAGGGAAAAAATAATAAGCTGAAAAAATTCTCAATATTAGAGACAAATGGAATACAATGTATAACTAACTCAAAACAAAAAAGAATGACAGATGAATAAGAAAAGAAACTCCCATAATCTATTACTTTCAAGAAACACATTTTAAAAACAGTCATACAAAGAGTAAAAATAGGGGCCTGGAAAAAGAATTGTTATGCAGAGCAGCTAGGTGACACAGTGGCTAGAACACCAGCCGTGGAGTCAGGAGGACCTGAGTTCAAATCCCGTATCAGATACATAACACTCACTAGCTTAACCCCGATTGCCTCACAAAAAAAAAGTTATTATACATCAAGTGAATCCCAAAATCAAGAATTGTAATCACGCTAGCGGAGAAAGCAAAAATAAGCATTTAAAACATAAAAAGGGGCAAACAAGGAAATTATATTATACTGAAAGGAACCACAGACAACAAATGAACATGAGACAAACTTTTGTGCTCTACATGCCTTTGCCTCCAAATTTATAAAGGAAATATTAACAGTAATACAATCATGGCAGGGAATTTCAGTGTTACTCAGTTTTGGAGAAGTCTAACATAAAGATAAAAGGGAAAATATGGAACTGAATAAATTGCTGAAGCAGTTAGAACTAAAAAACTTAAGGCATTTTCTAAAAGGGAGTGCAAAAGATATATGTATTTCCTCAAGCACCACATGGAACTTCTGCAAAAAAAATGACCAAACATATTGCAAACAGATATAAAAAGGCAGAAATAGTAAATATATCTGTCCTTTACAGATGATTTTGCAATAAAAATAGTAATTGCTTCAGTGAGCACAAAAGACACAGACCCAAATAGAGACTTAACAATGAAATCCTAAATGACTGGGTGTAAAGAATAAATCATAGAAACAATTGTAATCATGTGAAAGAAAATGATAATGATGAAACAATACCAAAATTTCTTGGATGCAGCTAAAGCAGTCCTTAAGAGAAAAATCATATCACTGCAAATGTATACTATTAAGATTGATAGACTTTTGGTCAATCTGATTAAAAAGAAGAGGGTAGAAAATCAGATCAATGAAATAACAAATACAGTGAAATCACAACAGAAGAAGAAACAAAAAGTCAGAACCTACCAAGCAGTTATCTACTAACAAAACTGAAGACACAAAAGAAACAGTTGAATACCACCAAAAATATAAAATGCTCAAACTGACAGAAGACCAAAAAAAAAGATTTTAAATAAGCCAGTCTCAGGAAAGGAAATAGAATTAGCTAGAAAGGAAGTACCAAAGAAAAATAAACTCATGGTCCTAATGGATTTACATGAGAATTCTGTCACTCTTTTAAAGAACAATTCATATCCATATGATGAAATTATTATCAAAATTTGAGAAAGACAGCCCCCTTGTATTAGACAGATATTGTCTGATACCTATATCAGGGAAGGATGGAAAAAAAACCCTTTAGATCAACATTATTAATGAATATCTCTTTAAAAATTAACAAATCATTCATTATAGCCAAGTTAGATTTTTGCAGAGATATGAGGGTAGTTCGGCATTAAGGAAACAATAAAACTATACTGTAAACCAAAACATTCAAAACCACACAATAATTTCAATAGATTCAGACAAAGTCTTTGACAATGTACAACATTCATTTATGCTAAAAACCATGAACAAAGTATTGGCATAAAGGGACTTTTTCACAACTTATCTGACAATGTGTCAGTGTTCCTCTCTTTCCATACCTTTCCAAGTTGACTATTCCCAACTTTTATCATCTGCCAGTTTGCAAAGTGTCAGGTGAAACCCAGGGTTGTTTTGATTTCCATTTCTCTTGTGATGAGTGATTTGGAGCATTTTTCATACAATTAATAATTATTTTCTCTCTTACCTACTTCCTTCCTCCCCTATTGAAAAAAAAGGAAAAAGAAAAAAAAATCCTTGTAATAAGTATGCATAATCAGGCATAACAAATATGCATAGTCAGGTTAAACAAATTCCCACATTAGTCATGTCCAGAAAAAACTGTCTCAACACACATCCTAAGAGAGATTATGATCTTTCTGTCAGGAGGTAGGTACTATTACAATATATATGATATGACATGATATAATATAATATAAAATATATAATATGAAATATTTCATAATCTATTTTTTGGACTCAAGGTTGGTCATTGTGGTGATCTTTAGTCTTTTAAATTTGCTTCTTTTTACAGTGTTATTACTTTTATGTTTTCCAGTGGTTCTGCTCACTTTACTCTGTGTCAGTTCAAGTTTTTTCTCAAGCCATTCCCTTAATCATTTCTTTTTATGTTTCTCTTAGCTGGTGCTTATATTTCAAAGTTTCTAGTGAGCTCTGGTCTTTCCATCAAGA